CTCAACCCCTTGCCGTATAATGGGAACCCCTAATCCACTATCTGAGATCGCGAATAATCGCGGGTTCTGCCTTTGAAGTGATCTTCAGTATTTCTATGCTCAGGCTAAAGAAAATCAAGCAGTTCGATAGCAAATCGATTCTTGGTTTGTCCCATGTTTTTTTTCGCTGCTGGACAGTTGGGAACAGGACACGCCATGGTTGTGGAAATCTAAATGGGTCATTATTGACCGCGAGAGAGGGTGTTGTACCGATAAGAAACCCTGAATTTATGCTGCTACCCCCAAGTACCCTGGATCCATATTGAATTTTTTCTACTTTCCATTTCTTTCAGAAGATGATCAGTGCAGTGGTCATGGTACAATGGTAAATAGCCGTTGTGTTTGCGAGCACGGTTACAAAGGGGACATTTGTCAGTATAAAAGTAAGTTAGATTAGTTAAATTTTGAGCTGAATTACTTACTCATGGGCACGACTGGTGCTCTTTGGTCCCTGAGTATGTCAGGCGGATTGTCAGGCCTTTATTGAAGCCAGCGATTCTGGCCAATGAAATTTTTTTCATAATCTTCTGCAAAATAAGTTCTATCAATAACTTCCAAGAAACTAATGACTTTGGCATCATCTGGATGCTTTGGTGCATCAAAATTTTCATCGATCAATCAAATTTTCAGCAAACTGTCACTTGGATGAAGATTGCCTTAATGGCGGCAAATGTATAGCAGAGCCCAATTCAGTCGTCTCAGCCAGTTGCTACTGTACATACGGATTCTTCGGCAAGAACTGTGAATTGAGTGGGTTATGCCTGACGCTTAGCATTTCAAGCATGTGCAGTATTTGCAGCAAAAGATTAGGCGAAGTTCGACTTGATGGGGGCATTTTGCTGTAAACCTGTAGATACTGAATTCTAATGCACTTGACAAGCATTTACAGGTAACACCAAGAAGAAGACCTGCAGTCCAACAAGAACTGGCGAAGGAAACTGGCGATTGTCCAATTCCTCCTCCCCTCCTTAGCCGAACAGCGCCAAAAACCAGCGCCAAAAATTCACAAGTGGTAGATTGCACTGTAGAGACACACTGACTGGACTATAGAAGTCCACGAAATTGCGAGGAAGGGGTGAGGGTATTTTACACTCCCGTTATTTTCTTTTGATGGTTCTAAACTAATAGGTCTTACCTTGGTCAGACCTGTAAACTGCTATGAAGCTCTGAAACTGCTCGGGTGAACCACTTCGCTCACAGGAATTTACATGTCTTCACAATAGCCTGTACAAGCTTCATTGAGTACGTACTGGTGCCCCCCCAGGCCAAACTGCGCCTCCTTTAATCAACGGCGCGACCAGCTGTTCGTCCGTAATGGTTTTTATTTCAGCCTATGAACATGGCGATGATGAATGTTTCGCTTACAAAAGGCTCGACGATAAACGATTCACCGCTTATGGAATGTTTGATCCGGCCTGCTATAATAAGGACAAGTTCAGCGACAATGACTTCGTATATTACCGTAAAATCAAGGTGATTTTTTATTTTCGCTACTATATGCTCATCAGGAATGTGGTATCCCTTCTGAAAGTAAAGTCAAGCATCCCGGCTAAGATATAGTTGATATCGTCACAATCAGTCGGGGCGGGGTCAGGAGGCGTGAAAGGAACCTACCGGCGGCTCCATTTTCTACCAAGTGATCGGTTGAGCAACAGAAGAGCCAGTGGTCGAACATACCGTGGGTGGGCTCACTTCACCCCTCCTGGCAACGCCCGATTGGAAGAAGGAAAGGAAAATCGCTAAAAGTATTGTCGGTAGTCCAATCCAGCAAGTGGGCGCAGTTTGGCAGCGGAGGGAGGGGGTGGGGGCCTTTTGAACTTTCGTTGCTTCACTAG